ATATTGATCGCAGAGTTTTTACTTAGTTGACATTCTTGTTAAAGCCTTTTTTTTTATTACGATTTGAAACTTTGGCTTATCTGAATTGACTGTTGAAATATAAGACCGGAAGCTGATGCTATCAACGTCTACTTTACTTATATAATGAAGTCACTAAATTGGACTATATTCGTTGAAATGATTATTGTGACACCAGATTTCACATGAATCCAATTTTATCGTACAATAAAATTAACTTGATCATTTATCATGTAGCAAATTATAATTGAAAAATTAATTAATAATATTTACGATAATTTTTCATCTATATCGAAATTTATTCGTTACTTATCATTTTGCGATCGTAGCTAAGAAATATATAAAGTATACAAATACATACTGAATACTTGTTGATATAAATAATAATCAAATAATATCCATCTGTGTTAAATATGTAAATATGTAATTCATGAATTAAAACAGTCAAAATTAAGTAGAACGTATGTTGCAGCATATTGATAATTTTAATTATTGTTTATTTATTCATTAATATTTTTAAATGGACTAAATTGTTTTAGGAATGAAATGCTCGTGGGGACATGAAAACTTCATATCTGATGTAATAAATTCATGCCCAGGATTACTTGATTCTCAAGACAAATCTTACTGTTGCTATGATATTTCTAATGAAAAAACGTATTGCTGCGATGTTATGGAATTTGCATTGAAATCATCATGGTAAAAAAATTAACATTCTCTTGTGGCTTATAAATTAGTTCATGATACTTGTACAGTAATATTTATATTGAAAAAATATGCACATATTTCCTGATCAAATAAGACTCTTATAACACATTTATTAATGTACAATTTTTTAAATTATATATAACATTGAAATAATATTAGACTTGAATAACAATAAAATTCTACAAATATATATAGTTCTTTTTAAGGCATTTAATCATTAGACAAATTAAAATTACATGATTGTATAATTTTTCCTTGAACAATACAAGTTATTTTACAATATAATGTTTTTGACAGATTTTATATTTTATATTTAATTTTTAATTTGAAGAATCTTGATAGTAAAATTATATTTATGATGTATATTTATAATATACAAATTCTTCTTCGCAGGATCGTGCTGATAGTGATTATCACATTTACCATTGTGTTCTCACTGATAGTATTCTGCGTATCGTGCTTATGCTGTAGCTGCTGTCCATGGTACCGTAGACGACATCGAGGAACAGTTTATGGAAGTAAGAATCTTTTTTTATATATTTATTAATTTTATTTTTTTATATCTTACTCCACAAAGGCGTATGTAAATAATATATTTTTTATCTTATCATTATATATTTTTATACTTTTCTAATGTTTTAATTCGAATTAAATACATATTTGTAGAGACAGTCAAAACGAATATTGTTCAAAAAAATAATTTATTTATCTATATACGATAAGTATGTACGAAAAATAATAGCTAATTTCGTCCTGTAATTATTTTTAGGACCCATGATCTGAATCCATTTCATCACATCTTCCAACCTCCTGATACTACACAATATTCCCCATAAGTGTATATCAAATTACATATATTTTTTAAATATTTTTACCTTGCTTTCCATTTGTATATTCTTAACGCATGAGACTTTGTGTTTGTAAGCTTGATTACAAGTTTTTTAAAGTATATGTATGTAGATGCGCGATATTGAAGATAATCTATAACGCATAATATTCCAAAAACGCTACAATTACAATACAACATATGACATGATACGATTGTTAAGGAAACAGTTTTAAAAATATTTTAATGAAAAATTACAGTTTCAATCTCTATCAAAATATAATCAACAATTTTAATCAAATTAAAAAATTATTTACTACTTAAAAATATAACGCACTAAATATTATTATGTTGTTAAGTACAACTATATATAAATATTGAATGACAATATTATAAATATTATTATGTTGTTAAGTACAACTATATATAAATATTGAATGACAATTATATTCTTAAGCTTTCATGCGTTTGCCTTGAAACTGCATACAAAAAAAAAAAGTCGTCCGACCTTGAATGCTTGGAAAAAAACATATTTCTAAGCAACCAAAGGTTGATTAAGCATTCCATGACTAGTTTTTTTTATCTAAAAATTGTGATTTTCGTTTGCTTTTTTAAATAACTATATTATGTGATAATATAAAGCGATTATAAAGCTAAATAAATAAATGGTGTTCATGTACTAAAAACACATAATGACGTTTATGGGTATTGAAATACATATAAACATCATTTTGTGTTTTTAATACATGAAGACGATTTATTTACGTATATACATATTTTGTGTATCGAAATACCTGGCACATTTGTTAAATGTCGCATTAAAATCGTTATTCAAGTATAAAGTTTATCCATATTTGTGAAAATAGCAGGATACTATTTTTGTCAAATTGCACAGCGAAACAGAACAGTGACTTCCATCCTCAGTATACATATATTTTTATACATGTTTTTATACCGACATGTGCAAAGTACCGTAATAATACTTGTGATCAACTTTTTATTTTATGTACACCTCATTGACATAATGACATAATATAAAAAGCTATTGAACTTACAGAAAAATGTAAATTTAAGATATACGATTACCATATAGATAAGTGCTTTTTATTGTAATATTATATAATAAATATCTTTGTGATCTTTTGATATGAACGAATATTTTCTTCCCACTATCACATGAATGATAAAATATATTTCAAAGCAACGATGTTACTAAGGTATGTATTCTAAAATATAGGTCACGTAACTTATCCAACGATTATCGTTAATATAAAAATAAAACATAAATTTATACAAGAAAAGAACAGTACTATTAATAGCATCTTCTTTTTTTGAAGTTTTTCTGAAATTTCATTGTTGGTTTGAAATACATTTCTAGAAGATTAAAAAGATAAAGTAACATGTAATTTTACTTTCATGCAATGTATGATAATCGCAAAATTTCCATTTGTATTAATACATATTGTATGATCGAAAAAAAGATGATTTTTTTGTTAATTAAAAATGTTTTTTTGCTTGAAAAAAATTAATTGAAAATGTGTAATAAAAATTTCTCAAAATATATATTTGTTAAACAATTTGTTCAAACATTCCATAAATTCATCAAATATACCACATACCATAAAATTCATCAAATACAAATAAAATTCGGGCACACACAACAGATTTTCAAACAGGAATATCTTGAAAATCTTATGTGATACATTCAAGTATTCGTCCACTGTCTCTATAAATAAAATAATTTCCCAAGTTGAACCTACCTTATGAAAATATTTGTTCTAGAAGTACAGGTACCTAGTGTGGTACATGTAATTCAATCACCCGCGAGTGTTCCGCAACCGACTCCGCACTATACAAATCCTGCGTATCCTACGAGTTCAGCAGGTGATTATTACGTATATATAAAACATAAGAAATACATGTATATTTTTAAACAAAGATTTTAATTTACAATTTACAAAGATTAAAGATAATTTTTAATGAACATTGTATTTTACACAAATATATAAGTTTAGCTATATTTTTATTATTATCAAAGAACAGTACTATTATCAAATAATCAAATGTCAATTTCAATTTTTTCAGGAATATCACAACCACCATCATATTCTGAAGTTGTTTACGAAAAACAAGCACCCTACAATCCAAATTATACATCTTCGACTCAACAG